TTTTCACAGTTTTTGGTGAAAATACAGTATGCTCGTTTCAACACAAATATGGATCAGAATATTTTGAAATAGTGGAGGAGTTTGTTGTTGTAGTAGACTTTTAATTTGGTTTGTTGTTATTGTTTTAAAGTTTTTAAATGATGTTCTAATTTGATACTTGCATGGCCATTTGCATTCCAAAGTTTCCAGAAAGGCAGAAATATTGATTCTTCTACTGAGGATGAGCCTGAAAAATTGACTTTTTTTTTTGTTGTCACTGGATTTAATCAAGCTACATTTGCTCTCAGGTACAATAAGCAGAAGGTAACTACTAAAGAAGTTTATAGTTGTCAGTATATTTGCCTGTATGAATCCAACTGCTGCCAGTTCACTGCCATTTCTAAGCTTCAGGTATGATTTTAAGTGTCATAACAATCTTGATTAATACATAAGATTATTATAATTTATCTATCTCTGCAATAGGTAAGAAAGCAAAGGGGATGGGAGAAAACACATCATCTGAAACAGTACAGGTTCAAAATCGTGAAGCACTTATAGCTAAATGGAAAGAGAGAGATGATACTGAGAATCCACTGAATTTCACAGCAATTGCAGTCTTGTGGTCCTTCACCTGGCAGATGTGCCCTTGGGGCTCAGAGCCAGACGTGAAACTGCTGTGGAACTGCACCAAGGATGAAGCTAAAAATGAAGTATTTTCTGTGACACTCAAGTGACTGATTTTCACCATGGTGTACTGCCATTTAACACTCCATTTAATCTTATCTGTTGTCTTGTGATAAGGAATCTTTCTTTTTCTCTTTTCATTTTCAGAGACATTTTGCAGAATTTGCTTTGAATTTCTCTTTTTCAGATTCCCAAACTACCATCTATACAACATAGTTTTCTTCCACTTTCAGCAGCATGCTTTTAATCTCTCAGTAGTGAAGAATATCCCAGCCATCATACAAGTAGCCATACGCCTTCACAAGCCAATGGTCCAAAACTTCTCACCAACTGCTATTAAATTCCACTGTGCCTTCAACCTGAGAGACCTTCCCACTGTCTTCCAGTCTGTACCATGGGTTGATTTTCTACCTGATGACACTCTATCATTGCTCCTTAATATTATTTACTAATGTAAATCCCACTGGACCATTCTGAAGAAAAATGCCCTTTGTACTGAGATAATCCATGCCCCCAGGTGACTATGCTTACGTAGATGGAATAGATACAAAGCTAAGACAGAAAATATATTTGATGTCAGGTCCCCTGTTAACACTGCTCTGTGTACCATGGTTTGCATGATGAACTGGTCAACCTCACCATATTTGCACCCAACCTGGCATGGAATGTTTCAAAGAAAGAATTTTGGACTAACAGATCTGAAAGTGCTAAATTGTGATAAACTTTGTCTCATTTTTTCGACCAGTACTGCAAAGCAGGCCTAGTGAACATGTAAGATCCTGACTTATGCTTCTCTGTGTGCTGTGCTGCACCAGGGCTACAGATCATGAGTCACCTCGTGCTAATCCATAGAGAGCAGACGTTTGTTTTAATTATACATTTGCAGACTCAGCTGGCTGTAGAACTTGCTAATTTAAAGAGAAATTCTGGTTTATGTTGAAGGTGGCATAGTTTCAAGCACAATGTATATTTGGTATCTAAGCAGCACAATTAATGTTTTTGAGGAGAGAATTTGGCTAATTTTCTGCAGACTGTTGTTTTGATACCAAATGAGAGTGCTGAAAAAATAAGCACTGTGTTAACTTTTTAGCTACAGTTGTAGCTACAGCAACCCAATGAGAGCCAGCAGCTTTGACTGCAAGAATCAATACATGTCTGTGGGGATAAACTAGTAAAAAAAAAGAGACTGTAATTTCCTTCATAAAACAATGATGGACACTATGCTCAAATATTTAAGGTATGTCAATAGCATGAAAATATTTTACATAATGCCAGCAAGTTGAGATCTGGATAGCAAAAGATCTTATTTATTGGAACCATGAGTAGCAGTAGAGCACCAGTTTTTTATCTTCAGCCGCCACTATAAGCACCTTCCTTGATGAGGAAAAGCAGGCACTGAGTAAGCGATGAAGGGAAATCAAGGAAGTTTTCCCTTCTTTTAAGCTTTTCTAACTCTGCAGCAGTGGTAGCTTCTTGCCTTGGGTATAATGTTTAACTAACAGGAATGTCAAGTAATCCTGTTGTGATATTGTTATTAACTTAGAGGAAACACCTGAGCCTTCACTAGAAAGGGGAGGCAGCAACCTGTCTGTGGACATCATTCTTCAAGTACATCACTGTACATGTGGAAACATTGCAGTTTTCATTTTCTCCATTTCCAAATTGTGTACTTCCAACCACAAGAGTGTACTTTTACTTTTCTTGGAGAATTGTTTCTTTTGTACCAGTTTTCCTTGAATAGTTCAACTTGAGTGCTAAGAGTACTTGTGTATAGATTTACAAAAAAGGAATTAAGCTATTTTTAAGTTAATTTTAAATTGCAATCTCTCTTTGGATTTCAGAGCGTGTTAGGGAGAAAAAAAAATTTTTTTGAATTGCGAGCATTGTTGCTAGTCCTAAAAAGGATCCATTATCAACTATTAGAGATGAAATGTGCTATAAATTGTAAGGCATACATAAGATGCAGGTTTCATTTTGGTCTTTCTGCTCTATGGAGTTGAGGGGTAATACACCTGTCTGATTTTCAGAGAGGAAACACTGTAGATACAAACCAGGGTGCAAGTATGTTCCTTTGCCTTAATGTTCTCAATTAAGCCTTGACATGCATGCCTCCTTTTCTTGTTGTATGTAATGAAATATAGTACCTCTCAGTCACTGTATCAGATGTGGGACAAGAAAGAGAAAATAATGTATTATACAGTTGTTATGGCATATATGGTTTCTTCTAGAATTAGTGTGTTGGTGCCAATACCAAGGAGAAATCAACTTATGTGGACCACATTACTGTTTCTACTTGCCCTTCTAAAGCTCTTTGCTTGAAAGAATGCATGTTTTTCATCAGACAAAGAAGCAGAAACATGAACTAAAATAAACATACTGAATTAATGTATGTTTGATTTTTTAAAAAAGAAAAGTTTTCTTAAGAGTTAAAAAAAAAAAAAAGGAAGAAGAAGAAGAGAGTGCAATATTTGAATTTTTTCAACAACAAAAAATGGAGACTGTAAAACACCATCTTAATTTCATAGTCTTTTTTTTTTCCTTTGTTTTTCCTTGCCTGTGAAAAAGAATTGAGAAAAATAGAATAAGGACAGAAATGAAGGCATCAGAATGGGAAAATTAAAAGAACTGATAGAATGGGGAAGAGCAAATGCTGCCCTTTTCTACAGGCCAATGAAAGGATTGCAAGTATTGTGGACTATACTTGAAGCATTCCTAGAAATCTACAGTGAAATGCATGCTTCAATGAACATATCTGTATTTAAGAGTTTTATGTAGCATATGTAATTAGAATATCTATTAACGTTCTCTGGGCAACAAGTAATTAATAATGATGTTACAAATGTTTGCATGAAATTATTGTTTCTGCTCTTTAGAGGTTATTGCAGTGCTGACTCGTAACACTCTTAATGCATGGGTCATGGGAGGGCACCATGCAGCAATATTCCTGGTAAACATGCTTAGTTTGTGCCATTATGGAAGAGTAGACTGCGTTGCTATGACCAAAGCTAAGCTCCATTTTGTTTCTTTCAGAAACATTTAACCCTTTTTCTGCTGCACAGATATTAACAACACCTGTTAGTTGAAAAGATGATCTATAGATCATTTTGTAGTCTGCCTTATTTGCATTGAAATATTTCTCTACAATAATAGGCCCTCATAAGAAAATATTTATTTCTTCTTTCCAAGAAAGGAAAATTGCTTTTAGAATGAGTTTAATTCAAAATTAGAACAAGTAAGAAAATACCTTAAACATCTTCATTGTTCCTCCTTTTCATTAGTTATAATTCTTCTTCAACATATATAGTCCTTCTAGTTACGTGTAATATCAATGATTTCCAGAAAGAAAGAGAGGCCCATGCTGGCAAAACTGTGTATTGTTAAAGCAGTTTCTATTATTTGCAGTGTCAAATCGTTTAACATGGAAGCTTTTCTTACTGAGTTGGACTAGAATTTCAGTGTCGTCGTTTTTCACTTTGCACATATTTGGGCAGGAGCTATATAAGAGAAGGCATGCTTGACAAAGCAGTCTATTGTAGAAGTTTCTATCCAAGAGGATTAAAAAAGAGCTTAAATTACAAAGATAATCTTATGGATCTTTCATAGGGACTGTAGATCTTGTTCTGCTGATTTAGAGGTTAATGTGATAATCATCAGCAGTGCAGACGGAAGCCTTCTCGAGTATCACTAATTTTGCCTGAAAATGTTGGTAAGCCATTATCATCTCCTCTGAAGTCTAGTGACCGAGAGTAGTATCCCAGTTTGGCAAACAAAGTGGCAGGCTGTCTTAGCCTTACAGTTTGGCAGACACTGAAGAAAGAATGTGAAAGCAAATCCTGTGAAGTTGGTTTTGTTGTTGCTGTTGTTTTCCTCCCAGCTTTTATAATTTATTTTTATGGATCCATTGTGTAATCATCAATAAGGCTGACAAAGCTGTATAGTGAAGTCAAAGAGTACTGTATTTCATAACATCTAGGTTGAACAGGTTTCTACCTCTTTATTACATGCATCCAAATTAGATACACTATCCTTATATATTTATTTGTTTAAGAAAGTTCTCATCAATGTTTTTCAGGAATTATTTTTTTTTCTGTGGCATGAGATGTTTCAGAGAATGAGGAAGTAGCTTTTGGGGTTTTTTTCAAGCAGATGTGGTATTCTCATGTGCTCCTAGAATGCAGTCAATCTTCATTTAAGTTAACTAAGCTTTTCTTTTGAGTCATGTCAGCATCTGTCAGGATTTTGGAATGATGTTTTAGGGCTGCTCAACATAAAGAATGAGCTACCGGACATCTCTGGTCATTGTAAAGCATTACAGTTACCTTCAATGTTTGATGAAGGAGAGCAACTTTTCTTTCTACTTGCTCATTTATTGGAAAGAAACAGAATGCTGACATGGAGATAATGTATGCTGGGATGCCAGGAGTGCACTGGCACAAAAATATTTGTGGTAAAAAGAATCTGAGAAAGTTCATTACAAGGGTTGCTAAAGACTACATTACGTTACTGCTTTTTATCACTGAGTGCCAGATCAGTTCTGTCCCGGGAACCTTTAAGGATTATGTACTTCTGGTTGCAGCAGGTGGTAGTGATAAACAAAGCTTGTCAAGGCTGGCAGCATGCATCTCTTCCCCGGCGGTCTTTCAAATTATATGGAAGAAAGACTGTGGAAGCCAGGACCTGAAAGTAAACTAATAGATATTATTCAAGTCTGCTGAGTGTTAAATACTTCAAGAATGCAATGTTTTGTTGCTGCACAGACTTGATAAAATCAGAGATGAGGCAGTGTAGTTTCCAGTAATAATCTCTGTGGTTCACGGGATTTTCAGACGTATTTTCTTTTTCTCTGTAAAATGTCTGATCGAAAATATTTTGCTGTCTGTATGCTTCACAGAAATTTGATAGTTTCTTCATTTTCTCTAAGGCAGACACTTCAAACACTACCAAGATATATTTGAAATTCTGAAGTTAGTGATCTGCTACCAATTGCTGCATGTCATTGCACAAGTCTTGATTTAGTGGAATAAAATTATTATTGGTGAACCCAGTTGCAAAATTTCGCCCTGGCTGCATGTTAGTCACTTACTCAGTGAAACCGCTCATATGCAAAGATAAGGAAGGTAGTTGAAAGAGGTGCTCTATTTAGCTTACAGACTTTCTGGCTTTGTAAGGCTGAGCTCTATCTTGCAAGCAAATGTAGAAGGAGCAAAATATTTTCTTCACTTTGTGTGTACAAAGAGAAATGCTTCCAGATTTCAAACAGAATAATGGCTGTTATCATGGCTAAACAAGGTTCAGGGTGGCCCTCAAAACTGCTTGTTAGCCTAGAGCTGTGATTAAACCACAACAATGTGTGCAGCCTGAGACAGCAGCTTTATCTCCTGGAAAAATGGAGATTTATTCATTGTCTTACACAGTCTCTCACTTGTGGCACTCTCCTTCCCAGGGCAAATGAGATTCAGTGCAAAGCATAAGTGCAAGTGGTCATTCCCCCCCATGCCATTGCTGAGTGGAAAATTTCCAGTCCTCTGCTAACAAACCTGAGAGTTTGTTTTCTGCTAGGTCACGTGGCAATTCATTAATATCAGCCAGCACTGACCTTATTCTGTATTTCAAGTGTAATCACAATCCAGCACAACAGACGTTTTTTACTTTTTTTCTTTTTTCCCCTGAAACTCGATGCCAGAAAACATTCCACGTTTATTCAGCTGCTAGCACAATGGTTCTGTGTCCTTCTCTGGTGCATCTATGAATTTTGATAGCAATAGTAACAGCATACTGCTCAGTCTTTAAGTGAAATTACATAGGAGAGCTTTCTTATTTAAAAAAAAAAAAGTATTTCAGAACTAACAAAGTAGACTTTTCAGACAGTAGAGCTGTAATATCCAACTTTTAATACACTCATGGAGAGATTTCATTCATTATAGAATCACAGAATCATAGGCATTGGAAGGGAACTCTGGAGATCATCTAATTCAACCCAACCCTCACACAGGACCTATTTTCATCACCACTTGGTCATGTCAAAACCTCAGTGCTCATCATTAAATACAGAAAACAGAGGCAAGCTGCCTTTCCCTTTGAATGTTATGCAGCAAATTAGCAATATGTAAACAAATTGAAAAATATAAGTCAGCAGTGTGCTGCTATTCACTAATGTACATTTCATACTTTCTCTGTATCAACATTTTAACAGAATATGAATGATTGCCTCCTTTCCGTTCAGGTAGATATTGCCAGTATGTGCATCAAGACTGGTGCCAAGAACATACCCACAGTGTTTTCGCTAACAGATGCCCAAGTTCCAGATGAACGCTTTCTTGTGCTGATTAATGACTTGTTGGCATCAGGTGATTAGACCAACACATTTCTTGAAAGATCTTCTCCAATGACAAATGATCTGTGGTTTCAGTGAACTTTAAAGAGATTATTTCTCTTTCAGGTATTTGTAGGGAAGCCTTTGGAGAAGCCAAATAAAACCAGCCAGCTTGAGCATTGAGTTTAACTTGCTTAACAAAACACAGAGGAGACAAATTGCTAAGGCTTATCATGCATGAGTGCATTGATTTTGTGGAGATAAGAATCTCTTTCACTTAATATGTTTTCTTTGATATGATTTCACTGACATCAAGCCTTTTCCTTGTGACTGTACAGGTGTAAAAGAGAATAATGCAGTTGCACCCATCTTGAAAATATGAGGATCTGGATTCCAGTTGTGGGGATCTGGAGAAAGGAGAGAAAAAAGAGGTGGATGGGGGGAAGAAGAAAAAAAAACAGAATAACAGGATAAATACCATGCTATGCAGCTGGGGAGCATCTTGAATATATTTTAAAAATATTATTTCTATTTGTAACCAGACAAAACATCCGTGAAGACAAGAACTGCTATTCTGTGGGACATATCATACCTATTGGCAAATATTTTTGCCTTTTTAAAACAATATTGTTTCTTCTTCCTTAAAAAAGAATTGTTTTCTTTAAGTGAAAAGGTGTTGTGAATAAGAGAGATGTTGTTTTGTTACTTGATTGACTATCAGAACAATTCTCTAGTTATGTACCAAAACTTCATCATGCTAAATACTATATAGATTATTTTTTTTTTCTGAGTGTACTCTATGAGGCTTCTCCTAACTTCCCTTTCATCTTTTCACAGGAGATCTTCCTGATCTGTTCACTGATGAAGATGTGGAGGGCAAAGTTGCAGGAGTCAGAAAAAAAGTCCCTGACCTGGACTTGATGGACACCACAGAAAGCTGATGGAGGTGGTTCTTCAGTGAAATGCAGTAGTTGTTAAAAGTAAGGATGCCTACTGGCAACACTTTCCTAATGCAACTCGGGATTAACCTTCTTTGCTGCAAAAGCACATTGCTGGCTCATATTCAAACTGCTGTCCTCCAGGACTCCCAGGTCTTCTGCAGACTTGATTCCAGCTGGCAGCCCCCAGCATGCCCTGGTGCATGGATCTGTTCTGCAGATGATGAATTTTGTAATTCCTATTGAAATTTGTGAGGTTATAGTGGTTATCATGAGGTTAAAAACATTATAGCACACCACTTTCTCAGTTTTTTCCTCTCATCTTTTCTTCATTTCTTTCCTGCTTCAGTTTTGCTGGTATTCCCTCCTATCTGTAATTCTGTTGCCATCATTTCTGACCCTCTACAAATTTCCTCTGTAACCCAAAGTCCAATGGAGTACAGGATTTAGTGTTACATATTGATTTTACTTTTCTGGACTTTAGTGACATGATCAATAGCAGTGCGTACCTTCAGTATATCTCTTTCTAGTCAGTGCTATTTGTCTCTGTTTTGTGGCTGTTACATTTTTTAAGACAAGGTTTCTAGCACTTCTTTAAGTTCTTATTCCTCTTTTCTTTCCCTTTTCCCTTTGTGTTTTCCTTATTCCTCCTACATTTTTTTATTTTTCTTTTTAACGGCTTTTTGAAAACCAGCTTTCAAACACCTTTACCTTTTACCTTGCAACAATTTCACCAGTCCCCTACTGTGCAAATTAGTGCTTCTGGAGACAAGAACAGGAAATGTCTATTGATGTTGCAGGGAAGCAAAGTAGAGTTGCTATAGTACTAAAGAAGACATAAAATTTCATGAGTTAACACACTGGCAGATATCTCTATGGACTTTCAGTTAGTGTCAAGCAACCTTCTGCCTTCTACTTTCCCTAAATTTGAAGAATAAAAGGCTAATGAAATGTGAAAAGGAACAAAAGAAAGAATTTAGACAGTTTCAGTATACTGAGGCTTAGTGAAGTAATATGGTCTCAATTTGCCATTTCATTCTAAAAAGTCAGGATTCTATGCTAAGCCACATTTCCATTTTGCTCACCCTTCATCTTATCAATGCTTACAAATATCTCATGAACAGGAGTCAAGTTGATGGGGCCAGGCTCTTTTCAAGGGTGCTCAGTCAGATTACAAGGGCCAATGGGCACAAACTGGAACATAGGAAGTTCCATATGAACATGAGGAAAAACATGTTTACTTTGAGACTGTCAGAGCATTGAAACAGGCTGCCCAGAGAGGCTGTGGAGTCTCCTTCTCTGGAGATATTCAAAAACTGTCTAGATGGCTTCTTGTACAATCCACTGTAGGAAACCTTCTTCAGTAGGGAGGTTAGACTAGATGACCTTCAGAGGTCCCTTCCAACTACTACAGTTCTGTGTTTCTATACCCTGCAGTTCTCTTTAAGATTAGAAACACAGCTCAAGAACACAGACTACACACTGCCCCTCTTTGGACCACTGCAGCTCTGTGCAGCTTTTGCTTTGATTGTTTTCATCTGGAAGTTGCAATCAATTCTACTATTAGTGTACTGAGAACACTTCATTTATGAGGGTATACATTTATGTCAGTGTAAGATGGAAGCATGTCAGTTGACACCATTATAACACAGGGGTCTGCAGTTGAGGTTTGTGCAGAAGTTTTTAAATATCCTGCATCTTTGTGCAGTAACCACTCTTAAATACCCTGGAAGTTACCAAAATCTCTTAGAAAATAATAGGCAGAATAAGCAACTTTTTCTCAAAGGCATGGGTATGAGACAAGGACAGTTGATCCTCATGAAGATCCTGAACTGTTGTCTTTTGATCTCCACTTGGTATTAATATTCTTTTGATTCTAGCAACTTTTCAACTTTTTCCCAAAATAGGGAATACCAGGCCTGAAATACCTTAGAGCTCACAGGTCCTACAGAAACATACTTCTTAAGTGTAAATTTCCTGACAAACATACTCTTTCCATCTTTTTGTCCTTGCCTTTTTTCTTTGTTCTTTGTGTCTTAATAGCTCATCTTGGTTTTCTCAGTGCTCTTAAACATAATTGTATATTATAAATACATACGGCTTTTCTTCTGAACAGCATCTCTGTTACTCAGTCCCTGTGTAGCCAGTATTCTTCACATGCTGCCAGTCTCTACTACAAATGCTTTTTCCCGTTTCTTGAACAGATTTCCTCATTGTCTGCTTTTCTCACTTTTGTAAGTTTAGATGATATCTGTTGTGAAGTCCCAGCAATAAGAATTATATCTGCTGCTGTTTTGTTGAGGGACATCTATTTTCCATTGCCTTTCCTGTAAGCAGACTGAAATACTTTAGCCATCACATCCATCACATCTCCTTATGCAAGGAGAACATTCTTCTCCCTGCATGGTCCTGTCAGTGTTTAATTTCCTCTCCATTTTCTGAGGGACTCCAGCAGCTTCAAGTTTCAGTCAGAGTTAATATCATCTGGCAGGTGCCCTGCATCACCACAAGCAGTATCATCTATGATATTACTAATAGTTTTCTTTAAAATAATTATCTCCATTTCCAAATCCTCTTTCATCAGGACATGTTAGTCTTTTCTTGTGCTCTGTTTTGTAAATTGTGCAGCTCCATCACAGCAGGGCTGTTGGCCAGTTGTCACAGTTACTTCTTCAAGAGAATAAATGCACATGCCTTTCAGCTTGAATGCCTTAATCCCAGCTAGAGAACTTTTGACTCTGTGTTTGGCTAATATTAGCCTGGTTTTAATTCATGAGGATATGAGTGTACAAGAGGTGGTATCATCTATCACTTACCAATTGCACTTCTTGACTAATCCTTGAAGTCACCAACCAATGCCAGCAAGGAGGCGTGTGGATCAAGGAGAGACACACGAACACTCCTCCCCACTAAATGAAGTCTCAGTTAGGTTATTAGACAGTGAAGCATGTCCCAGAGTTCTTAAGTTTTGTAGTGCAAAATCTAGCTGCTTCTGCAGTTGGCAGGCTCTTATGCAGTTCTCTGTGGAAAGCTCCAAGGTTTTTTAATTTGAATGTCAGCCATCTTTTTTTGAATAATGTAAGGCTACATCTATGTTAGTGTATTTGAAGTCTGTTTTACAGTCCTGAGGACCTGCCTGTGTTGTGACATGACTGGCATCCGCTTGACTTAGCTTTTCCCTTGCTCTGCTCTTGAAATATGTTTCTTTAAAATAAAGTAATGGACTTATCTGGGAAAACTTTATTTTACTGTATGAGAAACACTCACTGTTTATATGTTGGTTGCCTGCATGAAAATTGTTTGCTTATTATGTTTACCAGCTTTTGCTAGATGCTTCATCTGTTTCTCTCCTGCCTGCCTTCAGTCATCAGTCTGTTCACACTCCGTTCCTTACTAATTTTTTATGGAAGATAAGTGTTGAGAGCTTTTGTGTTCTGTGGTAATCCACATGAGATCTACTAGTACTGTTCTGAACTAGCATGGGATTAGAATAAAGATTAGAATACGTTACCATAATGTACTGTTTAAAAAAATCCAAAAATTTTTGGGGGAGTGGCAGAAAACAAGGAGAAAATAGATGGATTTTGGGTATGATTTTGTAAATCTAGCATTTAGATGCTAGGAGAAAGTTAAAGAGTGAACCGTCTCAAGATGTCAACATTATCTTTCAGGGATACACAGTTTGTATAACCTTATGTAGGTCCTTATAGATACTAGGTCTTTTAAGTCCCACCAAATAATGTTAGAGAAAGTACCTTCCTCCTTGAAGCTCAACACAAGACTGATGTAAATAGGGCTTGAATCATTCCATATGAAGAATCGTGTATAATATTTATGAAGAATAAAATACTACGGAGGGCACAAGACAAAAATACTGATTTCTGTTTGGCAAATAGTGCAAGACTTTGATTTGGACACTTCTTGCATTCTCTTGCTTAGAGAGTCCAAATATGACAAATATGAGCCTTGTAGGAACATGAAAAAGCTGCAACTTCCAGCAGGACTATGGTTTGCAGACTTGAAGGTGTAGAATAGATTCAGTTTGGCACCAGTGCTGTAACAAGGACACTTGTAAGAAGCACACTAAAAGGATGTCAGATATCTCTAGGCTTTCCATTACTATTTCTACTACGTCAAGGGTGGTATGTTTATGTGTGGAGGTGGCTGCTAGAGGGATAAGAGGAGAAAATGAGGTGCCACAAACATCAACATTTTTTGCTATGTGTCTGATAATATAACTTTAGAACTTCATCAGAAAGCAAGGTGACATGAATGAGAGGGAGAATATCTAGTTAAAGAATGTGTGGTGTAAAAGAGAAGAAACTTCTGAGAAGTGGCCAGGGTGTTCAACAGTCTTGAAACACATACAGCATATTCTTCACCTACGTTACTTCTCTATTTCAGACTTTTGAAATGGAGACTGTTCTTGAATCTTTTTGATTACTGCTTCCTTGTTTGTCCTTCTTTCTCATCAGCATGATGAGATCTTGATGTAAATTCCAAGATCTTTCTATGGTCTTTCTACAGTTTTAGCATAGTTGTCATCATTTTGCTAGAATGGATTTCTACATGGATATTTCTGCCACTTGCCTTATTATAAGAGCAAATAAAGTCTTCTCTGTACAATAGGCCACCGTGCTGATTGACAGATCTTTGTGCTGTCCCCATACAAGCTGGACTCCATTGTCTTTTTGCACAGACATAGACCAGTGGCTACATTTCTGCTGGCACTCTTGAAGACAGTGTGGGGCATTCTTCTTTCAAGTGTGAGAACATGTACTGCTGCTTGTAATTCTTGCAAGAGTCAAAGGTCACAAATGATTTAAAACCATTGGTTTCTCTTGCTGATTTGTTCTCAGGTACTTTATAGGCAGTGTGCAAATCACCTGTGGTTAGAAGAACTTTAGGCTGTAGAAGAGTTAGAGAGGTATTTTAAGCTGTTTCATAATGAAATACATCAGCAGGAGGACCAGAATTACTACAGCAATTCAAAACACTGTTTTAACAAGAAATAGTCATCCATATCCTGTTCCATAAGACAGATTAAAAATGTACTATGAGAAGCTATGGGAAGCTGATAAGTATGTTGGAAATGGAATAGATTCCAGTGAATACCCTCCATTTAGAAATGTAAAGAAGTAAATGGACTAAATAAAAAGTGGAACATGCAGTTAGTTCACAGTACAGTCTAAAGCACAGACTTGGGGACTCTAATTTATTAAATACTTATGGTTCACCAACCAGAAAAGATTTCAA